AATACACGAATACACGACATTCTAATTGATAGAGATGCGCCTGTATATATATATATATATATATATATATATATATATATATATATATAATAATAATAAAATAAAAATAAAAAAATCTTTTTTTTTTCAAAATCTGTTTTAATTTATCTATACTATCACTTCACTATTTGAAAAAACCTTGATTTATCTGACTTCCTCATGAAAAACTTGTTCTGTCTGAATACGACTATAGATATCGTGTAACAAACTTCACAAAGATTTATTATTCAGATATTTTATAGGTAGGAAGTTATTCATACTTGTTTAACATTTTGTGATTTTGTTATAAATTATAAGCCTTTCTCATTTCAGTAGGCTTCATGAATCTGGTACCCCATGATTCATTTTCAAAACATTTAAAGAGGTTTTTAGAGGCCCATTGAAATCCTTAAATAAAGAACAGTAGTCACAAATAGCACCTTAATGGAAAGTACTGGAACAATCAGGAAAGGTAAGGTGCAGATGGCACATCAGATACATGTGTATGTCAGAAGCACAGTCATGACTCATACAGATTTCCCTTGAGCTTATTTTAACATTGGTGTTACTCTCAGCGGGCCCAGTGGGTTTTGTCCCTCTAGTTGCTCTCAAGAGACCTTGATTGCACAGAGATGTCAAATATCTGCTACTTGAATGATTTAAGGGTCTTCTAAGTGGTCGTACTGTCAGGGTATAAATAGTTAAAAATCTATATCTCCAGTTCATATAAACTTTGTGTGTGTTTGCATGTGCATATTATACAGGTACACTGCTGGACACGAGTGGTCTGTATGATGAGGAAGTCAGCTCACCAGAGAGCCTACAAAAGTAAAATGAACACAAATACAAATATATGTATATAGATTATGCATTCACGACAGACACACTCAGTCATTCTGCATTTCTCTGACAGAGTTATGGAGAATGAAGAAGGGAGAAAAGAGTACTTGGTGTTCCCTGCTAGCAAGAACCATTGTCCCAGCCAGAAGGGGCGCAAAATCCCCCTGAAAGGCAATGGCAGGAGAATCGATTACATCCTTTATAAAGAGGAAGGCCTGCAGCAAGACTGGAAAGTGGTGAGTTTTGATTAATAAACCTACTTCCCTTTTCGAGTGCATTATGCAAATAATGACTAAACACTGTGACTAAAATTCACAGTGAATGCAGGAACATGGGACTGCACATGGGAGGTCAATAAACAAAGGACCTCCTGTTGAGTAGCATGTTCATGCCTGTTTGGAATAAAATATTATCATACTGCTTGTGCTGTATCTGTAGTATAAAGTATATATAATTTGCAACAGAACATACTGCAATGGGTATCATATCCCACAATGCAGTGCAGGTTTGTTTGGTTTTTCGTTTCTAGTGTGACAAAAAAATAATAACAGCCATGATTTTAAACAAGACTTTCATTTCTTATTATTTGATCGGACACCCAAGAGTTCTGATATTTTTACAGTAAATTAACTTTACTTTTTTATCTTTAGAAAAAATGTCAACTGGTTGCCACTAAATGTGTCATATAAATAGGTCATATGACAACAGTGTAGCATGCTACTTTTGAAACATTTAGGTTATATTCAAAATAAAATAAAATATTAGATAATACTGCCCAGTGCTGCTAAAGTTAAATAAAACAGATAAATAAAACAGATAATAAAAATGACAAAAGCACATAACATTTTGCATTATTGACACTATTTTCCTAATTAATGCTGTTCAGTTGCTTTGTCACAATCTGTATTGTTAAAAGCGCTATATAAATAAAGGTGACTTGACTTGACTTGACATAACAAAATTACTTCCAAATGAATTTTAATAAATGCTAAAACAGTATATAAATAATACTAAATTAACACTATTGCTACCTACCAATTTAAAAAATATATATATTTTTAAAACACAAATTTTTAAAAGTGAAACAATATTCCAGAATACATTTTTCTAGCTTTTTTTTTGCGACATGGCATCCAGTTGTCTTGGAAATTATTATTATTATTATTATTATATTTTTTTATTACAAATCTCGCAATTCTGACTTTATAACTCACAAAAGAAAAAAAGTCAGAATTGTGAGTTGTAAAATCACAATTACAAGAAAAAAAGTCAGAATTGCGAGATAAAAAGTCGCAATTACTTGGACTAATCCTATTACATTTGGAGAATAAAAGAGCTGAAAGTGTGTGAAATATAATGTTCTCAGTGCACTGTGCCACAAGGCAGCCCAAACGACGTAACAGGCAAACGTGCTGTTTGCCCCGTAATAACACTCCCCCTTGCTGGGGTGTGTTGAAACACGATGATCTTGTATCAACTATAGCCAGAGATATTGTCAAAAACATCTATTGGCAATATTAGGAGGATTTGGCATTTTCATTTTATGTAGGCCTGTTACATTGTTATTTTTATTAGGCCTATTATTATTATTATGAAGTTACATTTATTATTAAATTAAAATTACAATTAATTTGCCCCGCAAAACTGCATAACTGACATGCTGCGAGGATAACAAAAGATAAGGCTATTTACTTCTCAAATAAAATGTTTTAAAAAAGGTATTTTAAAACAGGTCTGTTATACAATAAAATATAGGCCTATAATTAAAATGTTAACACTGCAGTCATCAATAAAAATAATGAATGAGCCGACTTTCAAAAAATAACCTGTTTAACACGAAATATGTTTCTTCTAATTTTTTTTCACTATGCACGGGCCACAAGAGAAATATTAAGGGAATAAATTAAAACAGTTAGCTATAATATACCGTTATTAGCATATGTTGAAGTAGATTCGTCTCTCGTCGTCTCTGAGAAAATAAACGGCGTCAGATGCCGAAAGCTCCGTCATTCTGTTTTTACTTTCACTTTCTGCATAGTGAATTGACTGAGATTAAGATGTTCACTGGCATAACTCTTGCGCAAAGTTTGCACGTTGCTTGTGTGATATCCATTGGCTCGCCTTCATGGTTTAAAATAGAAATATTTCCAACACTAAGACGAAAGCAATCCCCCCCACCGTATTGAAAACGAACCGAATATTTGTGAACCGTTACACCCCTAATAAATAAATAAATAAATATATATATATATACTGTATATAGTATACTATATAGTGAAAAAATTGTTACTAGCTTCATTGGTGCATAACTACTGTACAGTATTCTAGTCAAGAAATAACCTATTATGTTTAGTTACACTTAGGCCCTTTGGTGTCATCCCATGGAGCAGTGTTGGAATAGCATCCAAACAGATAAATAGTATCTGACACATCTTTTTTAATTCACATATTCACAGAGGTATAAATTTCTATTTGATTTATTTCTTGCTGTTATTTTAATAGTTATTAAAAACTTCTCAAATCTATCACCCCTTAAAGGATATAGAGGAGTTCAGCTTCATCACTCAACTTGCTGGATTGACTGACCACCTCTCAGTGGCTGCAAGATTGGTTGTGTCAACTGGAGAAGAGGAGACTTAGGACCCGGCCATAATTCAAAAAATCAATGCCACGGAGAGAGAGGGGAGAGGCAAAGAGAGAGCGAGAGAAGTGAGTGAAAGGAAAAACAGCAGGAGGAGGCATTCGTCAAGCTTCCCGACAGATGAGGGCAGGGTGATTGAGAGGGTTGGTAAGTCATAAAAAACGATGGAAGACATAGATGGAGAACACAGACAAGAGAGGGGGGTGAAGGAAAGGAGAAAACCACCAATCAGCTCAAAGCAGCGTAAAGGTGTGAGATTTTGTGAACCTTGGTTCTCCATCCACCCCTGGACTCTCCGTGTTTACATCTGATCTGAAGAACAAAATTAAAGATTTACTCACCTTTGCACTTCTGAAGCTTCTCTGGGGCCCTTGAAGGGGTGGAGGCCATTTTCTGGTGCCATGACCCGGATATCCAAATGAAGGCTGTTGCATGGAAGAATGCGTACATTGACTGTTCCAGTCGTCCTGTCACACAATATGGACAAGGACGTGTACGTCTGTGTGTTTAAAGTTAGTCCACCGCAAGATCTATCCCTCAGCATTCTTCAAAAGACCTCAGCAAGTGTCTTTCTTTTCTAACGTCTTTCTAAGGTTTCTATGGCCTCGCGCCATCTTTTTAGGGAGTTTATATACTGATATACAATACTGATCAAGGTTGCATTGTATGGCCTCATGTAACACTAAGTTAAACGATTGAGAACATGTTTTGTTGACCGCTGGGATACAATGATCAAGTCCTGAAGTATGGCAGTGGCGTCATCACTGCAAACTACGGGAAAACTGAGCAATTCATGGGGATTTAACCCCAAACTCTTGGTTGATGCATGTTTCTCAGTGCACTGCCATGTTTGTCATGGCCTGCATGTTTGATGTGAACCCCCGAAACGCAATTAACAGGCTATTTTTCACACACAAGCCCCCTCCCCTAACACTTTTCCTTCTTGCAGTATTGCTGTGGCTCCATCACAGGAGAATGATGTCGTAAAAGGCATCGCAGTGTTCACTGTTTACATATTTGAGCCAAGATTGTCATCCCCTGCAAATGTTTACACACTTATCAGGCAACGGTACCCCAAGAACTACCCAGGTAGACCCACCGAAGCTCGCTCTTCATGTGTTAACACAATTGCTTTTATACTCTCTAAAATTCTCTTGTTATAAGTTGTTATTATTGCTATTATTGTTATTATTATCATTATTCTTATGATTACTATGGTTCGTAGATTTGACATTATGTGCTTTTTACAAATGACTACATTCCCCATGATGCATTTATCTGCTTTTTGCTGTGTTAGAGGTTTACAGCTATGTAGTGTAGAGCTCCGCCCTGTTTTGACTGACAGACTAATTGGCCAATCAGTATGCCTATAAACAACTTTAGAATTACCATATCAAATGCTGTGTTCCGTTCAGTTCTGAATGCGCAAGGGAATGCAACTGAAGCACCAGATCCAAAAGGCACTCGGTTGTGTTAATGGTTTTTGCATGCGCATTCTCTGTAGATGTGGAAATACATACTAAAATACAATAATAATAATAGAAACCATTTCTTCATCATTGGTTTGAAAGGTTCTGAGCATGGCGAGTAACTCTTAAGACTTGGATCTTTTTAGTGAATCAACAACAAATATGAGAGATGCTTTTGAGTCTTTTTGGTCAATCAAAAACATGCAACGCATGCACTAAAGTTCGGTTCCTGAATGATTGACTCTTTTGAGTCAATTATTTTTGTTGAATCAAAAACATACGGCACAACAAGGGAAATCCAGTTACCTGAATGAATGACCCTTTAGAGTAGATTCTTTTTGTTGAATCAAAAAAAATACAGTGCAACCAGGGAAGATTGTTTCCTGAATAAATGACTCCTTTCAGTTGATTCTTTGATTTATAAATCAACTCAAACACATGACTCTTGATTTTGTTCTTTTTGGTGAATCAAACACATGCAGCTTATTGCAACTTATAGAGAGATTTATAACAGCATAGTTACGACGATTGTTCATCGTGTTTTTAGGAATCGGATTTTATTGCTTGCACCGTATGTTTTTGATTGACCAAAAATAACTGATTCAAAAGCATCACTCATATACATAGTTGATTCACTAAAAAGAACCGACTCTTAAGAGTTACTGCCCATGACAATGTCTAGTTAAAAACACATTTTACATGAGTTTTGTCAGTATTTTATAAATATTAATAAATAAAAGATATCACATTTTTTGGTTATTTTTTATTTTATTTAATATACAAGGCCAAAAAAAACTAAACTGTGAAAAGTCACTAAAAAGTCTAAACAAATTTTTCATAAAAATAATTGTAAACTTGAATGTATTCATTCTGCAAATCATTTTATTTGTTTAATGGAATTCAATTTCTTTTTTCCAAAAAAAAAAAAAAAAAAAGGTTGTGGTTGGAAGCCAGTGATAGAAACATCCCACGTCAAACTTTGGATGAAATGCAGCATTGATCTAGTCCCAGTGCACCCTCCCGCCACTAATTTTAATCTTGTGCAACATTCTTCAATCAGGTCAGTGTGCCATAATAATTAACCCTATCCAGATCCACCAGTACTAATGCTTATAAGGGAGCACAGGGTATGATTCAGATTATCTCTTGGTAACCCATGTTCATTTAATCTGAAATTAAACTCTTCCTATCGTATCTAAACTGACATCATTTTTCAAGGTCATTGTTAAAGGGTCAGACAGGGAGAGCTGTAGTAGAGATGCATGCAGTGAAATAATGAAGCTTCACAATTTCTCACTCTCATCGCTGTCCATTAAGATCTTACTGTTCTCTATATATTGTTTTCGAGACTATGTACTTTTTGTTGTTGTTTCTCTTTTCTTTTCTTTTTTTTTAAATTTCGAGGAATGCAGCTTGCTGCAAGCTTTCAGCTGGTCAGGCTCTCAAGGGGAAAATGGAAAGGGAAAAGCTTTCTCAGTGTCAGCTCTTTTTAAATGCATTTTGGTTCTGCTTTTTATTAAAAAATCCCTCTTTGATTCAAAGTGTGTGCATTTTGATTATCCGTTAAAAAAAGAGTTTAGAGTTTTGTTTCACATTTTTTCCCAGTGGAATTACCATACCATATAAATATCTATGAATTAAAAATATATATTTTCAGTGTTTCTTTGATGAATAGAAAATGTATAATTATAAATGTCTTTACTGTCATTTTTGGATTAAAAAAAAAAGAAAAAAAAGTCTTTAAAAAAACATCTTACTGAGTAATGGTAGTGTATTTACAAAATTTAACTCTAACTTAAAAAAAGTAACAATGACTATAAAAATGGTTTTCCATTAAAGATCCCGCACAATTGTGTACTGTCCAAAATCTTCATTGTACTCATTCTGTATATCTGAAAAAATTCCACAGGAAGCAGATTACAAGGTAGAATAAATAAATGAGTCACTTCAGGAAGAACCTGTTGTAACAAATCTTTCAAAAGCAGACCGTCGTATCTCCTGTAAACAACTAGACACCTAACTGGTTTTAGGATGGTTGGATATGCACTTATTCAGGTTTTCATACAGTAGAAACAAGAGCCATTTATGAAATTCACACATTTGGATCCAAGTATATGAATACATTTACACAAGTATACATTTACTTCACCCTCAACCACTACAACCAGGGGCTATTATTTTCTTCTTCAAAAAAAATCACACATCTTCTAAAATGTATTTTAAATAGTTATGTTCATTATGTTCAGTCAATTTATGTTGTATCCAGCTCAGGTTTTTGTGATTAAACATACAGCAGCAGAATAGATGGCTTGTAGAACTTTGGCAAGTGTTTGCTGTTCGATCAGAGCAAGAACTCTTATTATGACTGATGTAATTTGTCCTGACCTGAACTATAGACCGAAAGAAGATGTGATACTAACGGCGACATTTACTTTCTTACAGGCTCCATGATCTAAATTAGTTGTTTTAAGCTGTGAGTCTATGTAGGCATTTTTTAGGCTCTTTTATTTATTGGGCCCTGCAAAATGTGGCTATGTTCATACCATGTCAGAAATATGCAAAATATTATTTTAATTAAGTTCGTCGGTGGGCATAACTTGTATTTACATATGTATTATATAATAAAGGTGCACTCACATTTACCGTTATTCTGTGAATTTTCGCAGCTGTAATCCAGCCATTTCAAAGCATCCTGCGCTCCTCGCGTGCTGGATGCAAAAAGCACATCCTGTGCAGTCCGATTCACAAACAAATGACTCTTACGTGCTGGGTCTTTTTAGTGAATCAAAAACATCGCAACCAGTGTAGCTAGATTCGTCAATAAATTACTCCTATGAGTCAGTTAATTTAATAAATCATTCAAAAAGAATCAAGAGAGCCGGTCTAAATGATTCCTTCATTGAACAAACTCACTGGATCAGTCAGAGCGGCCGCTGAATCGTCATGGCTGCTAAACTGCAATATTAATGCCAACTAATGTACAGCTGATTACTTTGCACCTAATGGATCTTAATGAATGAGTTTCCCTGATAAAACATTCAATACTAAAGTACTGGCCTTGTGTGCGACAGGAGCACGTGCTTTCACTTTAATCAACCTTAAAGGGATAGTTCACCCAAAAATGAAATTTTGATGTTTATCTGCTTACCCCCAGGGCATCCAAGATGTAGGTGACTTTGTTTCTTCAGTAGAACACATTTGATGATTTTTAACTTTAACCGTTGCAGTCTATCAGTCGTATAATGCATGGCAATGGTAACAAAATCTATGAGAGTAAAAAAACCATGCACAGACAAATACAAATTAGACCTACATCTTGGATGCCCTGGGGGTAAGCAGATAAACATCAAATTTTCATTTTTGGGTGAACTATCCCTTTAACACTAGTTCTTCACAAGCTAGAGATAAAGCAGCAGCTTGGAACAAGTGACATCTTAACGAACTGCTCCACCCCAAGCAAGTAAGGCTACAAATATAGCCTATATTTGACACTTATGCCACACAATGTCCGTTTTAAAACTGCATGTACCGCGTGAGGTGTCAGATATGTATATTTCCTCTCTCTGTGATCTTGTTTGTCATGTTTTCCTGTTTCGCTGTTGTAAAAGGCTACTTCTGTTTCTGGTCGCTACAGTGCACTCACTGTATTAAAAAAAATGAAGATATAATTCCAAAAATACAAACGGTTAAAGGAACTAAAACTAATACCTATTCATGTTGGTCTTTTTCTGCAAAATTGATGAAACTGAAATCAGCCATAAAGTAACATTAGCTGGTCAATAGATAGAGACCGACTCGTTATGAATAAGACAAGGCCTGCAATAACCTGAATTTAGTCTCTTCTTACTTTGGCTTTTTGCCACACAAAGTTTCTACTGTAGTTGTGCAGGTAGAAATGTGAAGAGCTAGTGATTTTGTATTTGTATATCCAAAGTTGTTATTCTTACTTATAGACTGCATCTGTAACTTCTCATTTAGTTAAAATGGTCATAATCATAATTTCTATGTCATAAAGAGGAAAGCTACTGACAAGCAAAGAGTGAAACAGCATTTTCAATCAGCCCCTCTGCCATATTTTAAGCATTAGTTTAAACAGGTAAATGCATGTGTTGGCATGAACAGGCCTTAGAAATTACCACCTCTTATGCACTGGGTTCTGCAAGATATATTTTTATTAGAGAAATAGTGCATGTTTGTAGGATAGCCTATAAATAAAAACAGGGAACTGTAGGCCCGTATTAGGCCTTAATTAGACCTCTAGGACTCTGAATAGCATGTACTAGTCTCTTCGTGGTACAAGACAAACACACTGAGTATGAACCTGTAATAATTGCTTTGTGATACAATTAAAATGATATATGTGATGTTTTGACATAGGCTTTTAAAAACAGACCAGCTGGCAGGAGTTGGGAGATAACAATTGCAGGTGAAGTGGGGATAGACTGAAAGATAACTATTTCCGCTTATTGGTGAGTAGGGCTGCCTCTAACGACTATTTTTAACTATTTTCAAATGAAATCCAAATGTAAAAAAGTAAAGTGCAACATAGAGTGCAAGAAGCAAGTGTCCATCTCAAATCACTGAAATCAAAGTTCAGTATTATAGTGTAAGAATGACAACATATCCACGTGTTCTAGTCCACTACTAATAAAATGATAATCAAAAAACACTTTTTAAAGGAGTATTTACCAGAAATATTATTTACCAGAATTTATTTAGGAGAAAAATGTAAATGTGCAGTATTTCTGGAAAAAAAAAAAATATATATTTTTTTTTCACTTTTTAATCTTTCAATTAATTGGAGATGCTTTTGATGATTATTAAAATTTAATGGAACCATTAAAATGGAATCCGGAAAATAATGGAAAACAGAATTTGGTAAAGATAAAACTGTAAAACACAATTAATTAGACAGGCTTTTTGATTAATACAATTTTATTTAACCATTAAAACAGAGTATAGAAAAATTAAAATGGAAAAAAATGAATTTAGAAATAAAACTGATTTCATAGTGCTCTATAATTATATATTTTATATATAATAAAAATAGATGTAAGTGATCAATAGCCTTTAAAATAACTTAAAATACATATATAATAGCAATGAGGCAATAATAATTAGCTCAAATAAAGTATAAAAAGCAAGAAATCATATGTTTTATAGAACAGAATTGTTAAAATGCATAATGTATTATAAACAATAGAGCTAATGTACATTACGCATTACAGCAAAGGCCTGCAGGGGGTGCCAACGGCCTGACGATTATTTTTACACATTGCTGTGCGATCTAATCCTTGTTTAATATTGACCAAGCACCATTTCATTCAAATCTCCACTTAATCTTATTAATATTTGAATATTAGACAGAAATGCTATAGCCATTGTAATTAAATGAATATGTGGACATCAAAACGTATAAACTCAGAGTGAGGGTTTGAGCTTTTATTTTTAAACCGGGATATATTCTCCTGTGTTTGCTTAGATTTATAAATGATTGACCTTACAAATCTGATGAAATGGCGCACGTTGCATTCCCAAATGAACGTTATAATAAACCCAAACTCACAACAACATGCAGAGATGGAGTTTGAGACGCTCCACACATGTAAATGATAACAGTTCCTGTGGAGCTACTGTGAACGGAGCAGCTGTGTGACGCATGTACATAACTAAAGCGCATATACTGTATTAGAACTGCATCGTATATAATAATTTAATTAAATCGTAGCGTTTGTGAATTCACAATTATTATTTTTAAATGGGTTTAATATATCATGCAGCCTTGGAAAACAGACTAATAATGTGTTTTATACATTCTCGTCTGTGAAATGCACCACTTCTGGTATTTTGCCGGTTAGTCGACGCAAGCAAAATGAAGTCGAGGATTTTTAAAAATCGAATAGTCGAATAAAATCGACAAATCGCGACAACCCTACTGGTGAGCAAAATTATATGACAGAGTGTTACAATTGAGATGTACAGCTGGCATCTCGGCTGTATTGTCTTCAACAATATAGTCTAAGCTTTGGGATCTGGAACTTCCTGACTTGAGAGATTTTTATTTTTTGCAAAGCGAGAGGACATTTTCCACAATATAGAAAAGTTAAAGCTGTAAATTCTATCTAATATTTCACTGATATAATACAGCATAGTCAATACTTACATGTATCATATGCTTTAAGTTAGTTATTTTGTCCCTGCAAATTAAAACAGAATTAAATCTGCTTTCTAATATTTTGATATGTGTTAATGACAACCTATATTTGTACACAGCTGGCCATATAAATCTAATGTTACATAATAATGCATTGCAACATAAGACAAGTATACTTTAAATGTTATTGTAACATTTTCTATGTTTTTTATTATTTAGCCTATTTTAATGCTGTTTCAGCTACATAAAGAAGTTTTAAAAAGCCCCTCAAATAATTCCCTTGCCTTTTGCAACACAAATTACCAATAGGCTATTAAAGAAATTCCTTTGAAACTTGACACAAAAAAAAGAAACAACAGGATACCTTTGTTACATTCAATAACCTAAAAAAACTCCACTGGGAATATGAGTAATGGACACTAAGTTCTTTCCCTTGGCAAGACATGATTTAAATGGATGGTCACATTAGCTGAATAGTTCTGCAGAATAAAACACTGATCTGTGAATCATCAGGAATGTACCTTAACGTACATGGTTCTAACACACTGACATATTTTAATTACCGGTATATATTTTATGTGCTCTATATGTGGCTTTAAAACAAGCCTTATGACAAAAAAAAAAAAAAGAGATTGTTTGGTCTTTTCTAGCTGAGAAGGGGGCGTTTGAATCTTAAGTGAAACTGTCCATGTGTGTCTAAACACGAAAATGCCAGAAGTTCACACTATTAACATTGCTGATGACATTTGTCATTCATTTGCAACCCTTTTCGAAAGAGGATGTGATACTTGATGGGACATTTTTGCCTTCTAAATGTGGTACCAGCGTGTCTTTAAGGATGTTCATAACGGCAATACATTTTAACAATTAGATTTAAGCTAACAAGACTATTTTTTTTTATTCAGAATAACAATGAGATGCTAACTAATGTCTCTTGAAGTTACATATACATTAAATCACAGTTTGAATATAAAAGGTATTTATTCTATCAATAAAATATATGGTAATTATTATTATTATTATTATTATTATTATTATTATTATAGGCTCCAGAATGTCCATATATAACCTATTCATTCTTTCATTCTACTAGTAACAAAATACAATAATAAAGTCAAAAGTTTACATACACCTTGCAGAATCTGCAAAATGTTAATTATTTCACCAAAATAAGAGGGTTCATACAAAATGCATGTTATTGTTTATTTTGTGCTGACCTGAATAAGATCTTTCACATAAAAGATTACAAACTTTTAAACGGGGTCATTTTTATAAATTTAATTATTATTTTCTCTTGTGGACTATATGTAAACATCTTAAAGATCTTATTCAGGTCACTACTAAAATAAACAATAACATGCATTTTGTATGATCGCTCTTATTTTGGTAAAATAATTAACATTTAGCAGATTCTGCAAGGGGTGTGTAAACTTTTGACTTCAACTGTATATGTTTATAATATATGGTTCATTTCTTCTTCTTTTTCTTCGTCTTATTATATACATTCAATCACATTTTCTACAAAAAAGTATTTATTATAACAATAATAAAATGTAATTTAATTGAGTTAAATAATAATAATAACTATCATTATTATTACAGCAACAGAACAAAAACAGGAATCAAATTAGATGCTAATGTTTTTATTTTATTTACATATACGTATATTCAATCATATTTTCTATTAAAGTATGTATTCTAGCAGTAATAAAATATAATTTTATTAAGCTATTGTTGTAAAAACAGGAATAATTTATTGCATAATTTACTCATATTTTAAAAATGGACTGGGATTGTGTAGTTCTCCCAAAAATGAACAGTCTGACCTTCCAGCCAAATTGTTATATTTGACCAAACTATTTTCATTTTCTCATATGTTTTTCTCTGTTTAAAAGCCACGATATTTGATAAGACTGACAAAACTGTGTCCCCTCTGTAATACCAAATACATTCATCAAAATTCATGACGCTTTTGATGACGCTTTTGTGTTTGGAATGGCATGAGCGTGAGTCTAATGCATCTAATTACCTTCTAGTATAATAATGGCACACTGTGTTCAGTACTCCAGTGTTGTTTTGTTTTTTAGCCACTGTAGCGAAAGAGGAAGTGAAAGCTTTGCTGTTAGGGCTGTCCCTCAAAAGGGCTTTGCCTAAATATGACTTGTGAAGGTCAGAAGCACGTGTGGGATGACGGCAGATACTGCCGGACTTTCTTTATGTGTGGGTGAATTCAAACCAAAATCTCCCTCCTCAAATTTCACCCATAAAGGGATATTCCCCTCACAGAAGAGTGTGTATAAAGTCTGACTGCCTGGACAATGAGCCACACAGCAGCAAGTCCAGCTTGAGTGCTTTACATCTAACAGACTCTCTGTACATCCAGCCAATCTAATACAACAGAACGGCCAAAATGACCGCCTCTCGCTTCGTCATTTTCTCCGCAGTGGTGGTGCTTCTGTGCGCAGTTAGCCTCAGTGAAGGTAAGATGGAGGAGAAAGATAAATTAACATATTGAAAAACAAGGCAATTTAAAATATGTATAATATTTCATTAATATCTGTGCAACATACAGTCTAGATGTATACTGTTTTAACAAAACTTGTTTGTGTATTCTTGAATCTAGGTTTGCGTATTGGACCACAAAGGTGCTGTTTTACCTTTTCAACCCGTCCTGTGCCAATCAAAAAAGTGGTTGAGTACAGCATGACAAGCCAGCAGTGCCCCAAAGAAGCCGTGCTGTAAGTTTCACAACAATATATCTCTGTTTGTGTGTGTGTGTGGGAGAAAAATTACAATAGTGTTGTTATTATTATTATTATTATTATTAAAACCATTTTTATATCTGTTGTTTTTATATATTTAATATTTTTAATAACTTTTATGTTTGTTATATTAATAATCATTAATATTGTTATGTTTAAACTGGTTTGAACTAATATGACCAGCAGAGCAATTCCTTTGTGTTTGATGGTATTGAATTTCTCTGAATACAGGTTCAAGACTGTGAAGGGTCATTACGTGTGTGCCAAACCCACTGACTCATGGGTAAAGGAGAACATCAAGATCATTGACAGCAAGAACGTCGGAAGCCACGGGACCTTGTAATCATGTTGACCTGCGTCCTCCAACTTCTGAACCATTTTGGAAGCACTGGACAAGTGTGGAGTCTGAGCAAAACTGAAAAAAAAAAAAGAATGCAATTATTGTACTCGCCGACAAATGCATTGTCACTAACTGATCAGCATATTGAAGCTATGGGGTTAAACAATCCAGAATGTATGTTGTTTGAATTGTTTATCTATTTGACTCGTCTGTCATTTGTCTTACTAATGTATCTCTAAAAAGAGTGTTTTGTACCGAAAGATAAAGTATTGCAGATAATCAACCTATATCTTAAAGTATAAACTAGTTTATAAAAGAACATGGAATGAATCTGGATATTTTTGTAATGTGTCATTTAAGACAACATAATTATGATCACGATCTGTTACTTATATAAGTTTTTGCTAATGTAACCGCCTCACAATAAAGACACTTGTTGGGTCACTATTTGGCTTTTTTGATTTCATCTGTGTAAAAATAATCCTGTGTTATCTTTCACCATAAGTCTCACTGTTCACACTTACAGAGGTGGTCAGGTTTCAAGATTTCTGTACATTTAAAAAAACGTTAACATTCATGTACACTCTTAAAAATTCAAGCGATGCCATAGAAGAACCATTTTTGGTTCCACAAAGAACCGTTCAGTCAAAGGTTCTTTAAAGAACCATCTCTTTCTTACCTTTTTATAATCTGAAGAACCTTCTTTCGCCATAAAGAACCTTTTGTGAAACAGAAAGGTTCTTCAGATGTTAAAGGTTCTTTATGGAACCATTTAGACAAAAAGGTTCTTCTATGGCATCGTGAAGCACCTTTATTTTTAAGAGTGTATTTGCATACAAGAGACTGTTAACATGCAACCTGCTTAAACTTTAGGCTATTTGTGGAAATGTTGCCACAGGTTGTTGTCCTACAGGTGCTATACTCTATTTTATATAGAAAAGTTGTAAAAAAAAACCTTATCTACTCCCTGAAGGTTTCACTAAAATAACAATCCTATCATATCGCACAGATCTGACAGACAGCAACGCCACCTCAGTAAATTTGTGAAACGTTAAACTGAGTTAATACCTATATAATATAGTTTAATATTAATAATACAAGAAATAACCGTTAAAGCAGAAATAGGAGAGATATGAACGGCATCTCTCATTCAAACTCGCTCATCGTTAGCATCGTCAGTCCTCTCCGCATTGGATTATGGGAAATAGTGCTTCAGCGAGTTTACATTGGTTGTACCATAGATGGGCCGCTATATGTAAGCCATCCGCCATATTGGAATATCCATGAACACTCAAGAGCAAGTTGCCAATGCAGCTGCACTGCAACTAATTATACACATGTATGAATATCTGTATCTTCAGAAGAGGTTTTTGCTAAACTAACACAATACAACAAGATGAAGCCCTTAGCTAAAAAGGCATTTAAAAGGTACTTTCGTTTAAAAACCTGTAATATTGAGTTAATACATATTAAAAACACAAACCAACTATTTAAATCCTGGTGGTTTTTACAACCAACCAATGTCAAGTTGACTGTTGCAAGATGGCGGATGCGTCTACGTGCTTGGAGCGGTCGAATGAGGAATCTATACATATCTCTTGGTTGTACACTCAAAACCAGAGAGGATTGTGGGTAAAAAGTATTTAACGAATGTAGGGAATTAACTCATTCACTCAGACTTCGGACAGCACTACAAAATGGCAGACACACGATATAGTGCACAATATAGGGAATAGGGAGCCATTTTGGACACAGCTCTAGTTTCTGTAAACCGTACAAAAAAGTAGACGCTGGCCGCTGTCAGATTAGCCAATCAAAAGGCTTTTTCAGGTGCTTTATGCCTGTCAATCAATTAGCGCATTTAAGGAAACAGTCCATGTATGAAAAGCCAGAAACGGAAAGATTATAAATTGGATCGTTTGGATAGTTTATCATCAACAATGTTTTAACTGTCATAAAGGCTGAATCAAATAAAAAATACCAAAAGCAACGAGACATAAAGAAGCAAGATGAGACTTGAGTGAAAACTGAAGCTTTTCATCGCTGGACAGGTCTGAGCGCTTTAACACGCTTAAAAAAAAATATGCCGAAATGTGATTCCGCTTGACAGGTAAACATACGGTTACGCTGGGCAGAGTACAAAGAAGGGGCATGATTACATCTGACAGAAGTTATAGATTGTCTACGCTACAGCAAAAAAAAAAAAAAAATCATACGAAGACAAAAAGTAGATTCATCACTGATTCATATTTGATCTGCTTCCCTCAGACTCTGAAACTAAACAGCATGTGAATAATGAGGCAAGCATTGTTTACTTAGGCCTAATAATTGCAAAAACAACTCGTCACTAGCCCAAGATTTTCCCCAGACTGTACATCATTAATAAGGCAGTTCTTTTGGGGTGTTAAAATTGCTCTGTAAACCAGATGGAAAGTTTGGAAACAGTTTATGACCTTATGCGTCTGACGTACAGTGAGTAGTGTTTTCAACCGCATAGATTTGTGGTCATGTTTATTCTACTGTTGAACTTGAGAAGATGTAATCTTCAAATATAACAGTTTAGTTCTCTTTTCTGCCCGCAAATACACGTCATGTTTGTAATAGGAAGTGACGCTGTCCATTTTAGATCCAGATACTGTATGTATGTACGTAGCTATATCTGTGTGATTTGACCATGTAGAGGTAGTGGGACTGGGATGCAGGATTAGTTTCTGAGAAACTACAGTGGTATTTGGGTCAATCAACCTTTTTCAGACCAAGGACCCTTTAGAGTTTAAGCCTGGCCCCTAATCACATTCTTATATTAGCATATGAATGTATCTACATCCTACTTATATTGTTTACATTATTGTATATACTGTACTTGTACGCCTTCATTCTAATGTTACTGAATGCATTTTATGGTAGGGAGAAAACGAAATGTTTAAATGAATTTTAATTTCTTAAATTTATTTTATTTATGAAATGCTGAAAGTGTTAAATAGTTGTGGATATTAGACTACAGCTTTGGCTACAGTTTGTATGCAAATAGAACACCTTCACATTAGAGTGGATTTCAGCTTTGGGGGGATAGAGGAAGCAAGATTAATGTGTCTGTGTAGATGCATGTGGTTTTCAGAAGTATGATGGGTGAGAAACATGTTGTTTCTGTCGTATTAGCAGCAGCACAGACTTTAGACCTATCTGAATCCAGGAGCAATTCTTAAAAAAAAAAAAAACTCTTCAGTTCTAAAACTCTTCAGTTCTTCTCGACTGACCTCTGGTGGTGGATTTTTATTTGTTAGTTAGCTCTATACCTAGTGCTGTTCTGCAGTCCATTACTGCCACCTACTGATGAAAGTTTTAGACTTTTATTTGGAAACAATATTATGTGAAAATATTATGTTAGATAATACGTCCTAAATAATTTGTATTGATATTACAGTACATTTCCAGACACATAATGCTTGACTAAAAAAAAAAAGACATTTTATATTGAATGTAAACTCACAAGTAGATCACACTTTTTTTCTTACTGCCACTAACGTTGAAAGAGTGTTATGTTTGTATATTTTAGTTCTGTAAAACAGCTAAACTGGTGGCTGAGTTATACTTTTACTTTGTACTTTTAGTCATTTAGCAGACGCTTTTATCCAAAGCGACTTACAAATAAGAAAAAGTAATTAAAACTAAAAGCTAAAACTCTATAAATACTATATATATATATATATATATACACATTTAAGAAAATAAAAGAAATTAAATAAAAATGACAAATGCATACAACAACATTTCAAAACTAAACATTTAAATTAAAACAAAAAAATAAAGCTAAAAACAATTCAAAATATTAAAAGAACAAAAGGTATGAGTATAATAATGATTCTAATATAACACTAAGCCAAACACCAAAAAACAACTACATATGTGTATGTACAGCCACACACATATAATGTACATGTACATATATATAAATACATTCAATATATATATATATTATTTCATTTCCATTTTGTATGTTGAAGTACTGAAATAACTCAAATTAAATAAAACTAAAACTTAATAAAAAACCTATATAGACATAATAAAAACTAATAAAATGACAACATTACTACAACTGTAACTAAAACTAAAATAGATAACTAATACAAATCAAACTACATTAGTTTATCAGTAATCCTAAAAAAATAACACTGAGCCAAACACACATGCTAAAATAACAACTTTCTGACACACAGTAAGAAATGGTTATAAAAAACTGAAACAGAAGTGAAACAAGTAATAGGAAAGAGGAGAAATAAAAAGCAATATTTATTATCTGAGTATTGGCTGAGTTATATTAACTTCTCTATTAGACTAAAATGTTACTAGAAAGAAAAAATTGGGTTTCCTGAAGTGCTTTTTTAGTGAATCCGAAAGAAAAGTACTTTTCACATACTCACATAGTGACAAAGCAAAAGCAAAAATAAATAAATAAATAAAAAAGCTACTCTTTGTAATGTCTATTCAATGCTTTACTCATCGCGTAGCACGATAATGTTTTAAATGATCTTTTGGGGGGCATATTCTCATCTAAAGGTGATGTGTGATCGATTTGTGATTAATTAGATCTCGAATTAGATTAATAGCATCTAGTGGCTAGGCTACATCATGGTATTAGATGATTTTGAATATGAGCAGGCCTCCTCAAATTAATAATTTTACATGTATTTATGTATTTTTGCATCTTGGATTGTGCCTATATATAAGGGTAGAGGAAGACAAGTTGAATTAGAATCCTAGTAATATCCCTGGAACATATCTTGTCTTTAAAATACAACCTTGTAAATAGGATTTTTAAGGATTGTAATTTATTTGCAACAATTAATGAAGCCTTCAGCCTCGACTCGACTTAAAGTCTTAAGACTTGACTTCGGACTCCAGCTTAAGACTTCAGACTTGACTCAGACTTCAGATGAAAGACTTGTAGATGTGTCTGATAGATACCTATACTTGTGATTTTCTTGGGGAAAATAAATGGCATGAACAAACAAATTCATGATTTGTGATACTTCAGCTACTATCAGTTATTTTGAAGTGTCACGAACAATGTAATCTTTCAGTTCATCAAACATTTCATTTTTTGACTGCTAAGTCAATCTGAATGAATCTGAATGAATTAAATTTGTACTTTGTAATTTGTACTCTTTCTCCTTAATTGCAGGGAGAGAGGTCTGTGTCCAGAGACTGCAGGGTGAGCAGTTTATTAATAAACAGTCTATTATAAGGGTCAAATGTTCAACTATTGTATAAATGATTTATGTGTTTGGGTTCAGTTATTTACTAACATATAAATGATGAAATTATCCTCATGTAGTAACATTTTTATCTTCTACTCTTCTGCATACATTTTGAAAGCATTTTGAAACTTTTAATTTAAATGTATTATATATTTTTTAAAAGTCAATATTAAAGGACACTTTGATAATGGGTAATGCAAAAAATATAATAAATAAATCTTTAAAAAATGCACATGTATACTGAGCTACAAGGCCTGCAATACTAACATGTGCGGTCTTGGGACTTAAGAAAACATGCACACAACTGAAAGTAAGTGTGAACGAATGTCCCAGGTTTGAAAAAAATGTCAAAAGCTCAGCACCCACTAAATCCACACCATCTCTAATACTACTACTTCAGAGCATCACAGTCCACAGTCACATCTAAACCTCTACTGTAAAAAAAATGGACTGGTATGATTTCAGTTAGACTACAATGTTTGCATGTTATTTTAAAAAGACAAATTACTATTTTAGTCAGACTCAAAATAACATTTAACTGTGAATGGAAACCCTGAAGTATCACAATGCTTTTGTCTTAGTGTCACTAACTTCAAATGAAAAGCTGCCCTTTCCCCCTCATTACATTTGCATATTTTAATTCTGTGAATCAGTTTAACTTATGCTGAATTATTCTAACTTCTCTATTAGACCAACAAGTGTCACTAGAAACTAAGAGGTGGTTTTGTTTTCTTAGAACAGGGGCTCTCAGTCTTCTTTCCAGTGGTCCAACATCTTAAGTTTAGTGTTTTAATTAAACACAACTGAATCAGTTAATCAAGGTCTTTGGGTTTATTTGTGAGGAAAGGGAACATGTTAAGCACCTGATATTTGGTGACAGTGTAATTCAAATTTTATTATAAAATCTTTTGCCTTTGTTCATTTAATGCTGAGCTTGACAGGCCTGAAAAGAGGAAGCTGTGTGTTTTCCTGAAACATATTTTCAGTGAATCAGAAAGTGAAAAACTCAGAAACATTTTCACATGAGTGACAAAGCAGAAAAATGGACGAGGAAAAGGAGGAGCTAAAAACTACTTTCATGTAATGTTGATACTCAGAAATGGGTCTATCTGGATGTATTTATGAGGAATACGTCTAAACACATCAGCTGTGAGATCCTCAAGCTCTACAGAACTTCTACTGATTCTTTCTGTCATTGTGAAGAAACATCTTGAAGAATGAGAAGCCTGATGTCTGTGCTGTTCCTGGTGCACAGACTTGAAAGGGTTTATTTGTGTTTCAGTTGTGAAATGCTGACTGTGTACTGACTTTTGTATGGACTATACAAAGGTTTGTTTATTTTGGCATGATCATATAGGATAAAAATAAATGAGTGATTTAATGCAACAGCTTTGTACCACGAGAGGAGCTGTGACAGAGCAGACGCAATTCTCCTGCTTCTTCATTTTCTCCTGTTATTACGCTTATAGGTGAACTCCATAAAATAAAAATTAAACCATTTAAAATAGAATGATGCTTTGACTATTGTAATAGATCGTGAATATAAACAGTGGCATTGGTGAGGTAGTCAATGATCTGTTATGTATGCAATACAGAAAAAAAAGTGCAGCCTTGTGCAATTTTTGGTATCAGAACACCATCAGGAAGTACTGTCTGTCAGAATACACTATTATAACATGGCTAAGCATTTCAACTATCTTGATGAAAAATGACTTATTCTGATGGCACTGATACATTCATTGATATAAATATTTACTTTTGAGAGATGAACTAAGGATTTTGAGCAATTTGGGAACCCATTTTGTGATGCTGGTTGTATGAATTGTCTTGAGAAATGCAGTTTATGTTAAGGATGAATTGAGAAATGTACTAAAGCGACTGAGAAAAACTGTAATACGTGAAATATAGTTGAATTGAATACTGAATACTTGTTAATACCAAATCATTCAAATGTAAACTAAAAAAAGGCAATGTGAATGTAATGAAATGTAGAGGCAATAGAATTTGATAATTTTTGATACTGATGATTCTAAATTAGACTGATTGGGGTAAAAAGGGACACTGAAATAAATGAAATGAAAATGTTAAGTACTATTATATTCATTCTTTTGTAACTGTGTAACAGAAAGCTTGAAGCTCTACAGAACTTCTACTGATTCTTTCTGACATTGTGAAGAAACATCTTGAAGAATGAGAAGTCTGATGTCTGTGCTGTTCCTGGTGTTCTTCTGCTCTGTGCAGATGACTTCAAGCGGTGAGGGCTCTTTTTTATTTTCATTATTGAATCAAGACAAAATTTATTGTTTTCAGCTTTGCATTTGGTGATTTAAAATGTGGCGACATGATCAAATTGAAAACTTTTGTCTTATTTCTCCACATTTTAGCTGTCATTTCAATTGATGCAGAACAATCTAAGTGTTGTGGAGAGTTCACTGATGTGAAGATTCCTCTGAAACAAGTGACTTCTTACTACTGGACCAGCAGCAGCTGTGCCAGACGCGCTATTGTGTGAGTATCATCAATCTCATATCTCATTTCAAAACTGTAAAGCCAATCTCTATAAGATGACTAAAAAGCTTATTTTTAGACCTAAATCTTATTTTTGTTTCTTTCCCATCAGGTTTAAGACAAAAGCAGGGAAAGAGGTCTGTGCTGATCCAGAGACCCCCTGGGTGACCGGCCATGTTGCTAAAGTGGACAAAAGAAAAACAGTCTAAAAGAAGCTACACTGTTTCTATTTGAACTGTGCATTTCATATTCAAACCTTGTGCTATTTCCAATTTGTATATAAAATATTTTATTGACAGAATAATTTATGTGATTGGGTTCCGTTTTTTAAATAAAATATCAATGATGATCATAAAGTGGTAACGTTTTTATCCTCTATTGCATACAGGTATATTAAATTGTATTAAAATGTATGCATAATTAAGAAACAAAGTATTTGTTTTAAATATCTCAGTCAGACTATCATGAATTCTATAAAAATAACTAAAACCAAACATATTTCCCTTCTCATGTAAGCACTAAAATACTATATACTTGTTATTGATAGAATTAGAAGAATTAAATATAGACAGTGTATAGATTTTGGTATACTATGTCCTTCATGGTACTGTCCTGCAGTCATATACTGGCATCTAATGGTGGAGGATTTCAGTCTGATAGACTTTCAGTGACAAAGATAAAATATGAAACTATGCTGGAATACATGAGATATTATGCAAAGTTTTCCCAAAGTATTACAGATGATAAAACCATGCTAAAAATTCTTGTCGACTGTAACTATAAGATTGCAAGATTACAATTTGCAATGGACTGTTTGCATTATAAGTGTATCCTAAAACAAAAAGAAAAAAAGAAAGAAAATGTACAGAAAGTTTCTGAGAAACTCATGTTGTCTTATGAGTTTCTCAAAGGACATTGTGGATCCCCGGATGGATCTTCAAAAATTTTCTGAGACTCTTTTTTTAGGGATGCACCAGTATCAGTATCGGGCCCGATACTGAGCTCCTGTACTCATACTCGTTAAAATGCCCCGATACCAAACGCCGATACCACACAGCATGTGATAAGTGCCATATTCAGACAAAGAAACACTGACAACAGACAGCAGAATGGAGTTATTAGAGATTAAAAATGTCTACGAAGTATATGTATGCAATGAATATAAAACATTCAGTATTAATGCCTGTATAGCTGATGTGCGCAAGCTGGTAAGCAAATCACGCTGAGTGGATTGAGCGCGTAGGCAAGTACCAAAAATAAAAGTATCGTATCAGGCAAGTACTGGAAAAAGTGGTATCGGTGCATCCCTATCTTTTTTTCTTTTAGTCGGAAAAGTTGAATTATTGTTTTAGTCTGATTGAAAATAGCATTTTAAAGTGAATGTCTGACTCCCAAGTAAATCACACCTTTTTTCTCACTGTAAATGAAAAAAAACAAAAACATCTGCCTCGTTTTTTCATTACATGTGCATATTTTAGTTCTGTGAAGAAGTTCAAATAAAAATTCAAGCCCCTGCCCCTTTAATCGCCAACACTAAAGTACACTTTCAGTCCGATCTTGGGGCCCCTGGACCGCGAGGGCATTTGTTTCACATCCTCATTGAGGGCCAAGCACCTCTAAAGTTTAATAACAGTGAGTTTACTAACTTCAATAAAACACACCTGAATCAGTTAATCAAGGTCTCTGGGTTTACTTGTGAGCGAGGGTTAAAGGTTTAGCATCTGATATTTGGTGACAGCACAATTCAGATTTGATCATTAAAATCTTCACGTTTAGCGCTGAACCTGACAGGCCTGAAAAAAAGGAAGCTGTGTTTTGTTTTCCTGAAGCACATTTTCAGTGAATTTGAAAGAAAAGTACCTTCCACTTTCTTACATGAACAACAAAGCAGAAAAAGGATGAGGGAAAGGATGAGCTAAAATCAACTCTCATTCTGCAATGTTGATACTCAGAAATGGATTTGCATGAATGTCTTTATGAGGAATATGTCTCCGACTATGTATATAAGAAGGTGCTCAGACATTATTCTGGACACAACAGCTGTGAGATCTTCAAGCTCTACAGAACTTCTACTGATTCTTTCTGACATTGTGAAGAAACATCTTGAAGAATGAGAAGTCTGATGTCTGTGCTGTTCCTGGTGTTCTTCTGCTCTGTGCAGATGACTTCAAGCGGTGAGGGCTCTTTCTTATTTTCATTTTTGAATCAAGACAAAATGTATTGTTTTCAGATTTGCATTTGGTGATTTAAAATGTGGCGACATGATCAAATTGAAAACTTTTGTCTTATTTCTCCCTATTTTAGCTGTCATTTCAATTGATGCAGCACAATCAAAGTGCTGTGGAGAGTTCACTGATGTGAAGATTCCTCTGAAACAAGTGGCTTCTTACTACTGGACCAGCAGCAGCTGTGCCAGACGCGCTATTGTGTGAGTATCATCAATCTCATATCTCATTTCAAAACTGTAAAGCCAACCTCTATAAGACAACTAAAAAGCTTATTTTTAGACCTAAATCTTATTTTTGTTTCTTTCCCATCAGGTTTAAGACAAAAGCAGGGAAAGAGTTCTGTGCTGATCCAGAGACCCCCTGGGTGACCGGCCATGTTGCTAAAGTGGACAAAAGAACAACAGTCTAAAAGAAGCTACACTGTTTCTATTTGAACTGTGCATTTCATATTCAAACCTTGTGCTATTTCCAATTTGTATATAAAATATTTTATTGACAGAATAATTTGTGATTGGGTTCCGTTTTTTAAATAAAATATCAGTGATGATCATAATGTGGTAACGTTTTTATCCTCTATTGCATAGCCTACAGGTATATTACATTTTATTAAAATGTATGTATCATGAAGAAACAAAGTATTTGTTTTAAATATCTCAGTCAAGCTATCGTGAATTGTCTAAATATGACTAAAAACAAATCGTTTTTAGCAACACATTTCCCTTCTCATGTAAACACTAAAACACTATATAATTTGTGTTAACTGAATTAGCTAAATTAAATATTGACAGTATATAGCTTTTAATATACGTTCTTCGTGGTACTGTCCTGCAGCGGTCATATACTGCCATGTAAGGGTGGAAGTTTTCAGTCTAATAGACTTTCAATGATAAAGATAAACTATGCTGGAATACATTAGATATTATGAAAAGTGTTCCCAAAATATTATAGAAGATAAAACCTTATATTTGTCTGATTTTTGATATCCGAAAACCTTGATGCAGCACAATCAAACTACTGTGTAAACATCACTAATATGAGGATTCCTCTGAAATGGGTGGCTTCTTACTACTGGACCAGCAGCAGCTATTGTGTGAGTGTCATCAAACATTATTTGCATGCAACTAGAAGTAAGTGCACAAGAGTTTCCCCATGTCTGAAAAATGCCAAAAGCTCACCACTCAGTAAATCCACACTATCTCTAATACTACTTCAGAGTGGTCCACAGGCCCACTATCACATCTAGGTCTCCACTGTAAAAACCATACTGGGATGATTTTAGTTAGTCTAAAATGTTTACGTGCCATTTTAAAAAAGACAAATCTTCATTTTAGTCGGACTCAAAATATAATTTCAGAGCGAATGGAAACCCTTAAGTAGATCACAACATTTTTGTCACAAACTGCAACTGAAAAGCTGCCATTTTCCTGTCATTACATTTGCATATTTTAATTCTGTGAATCAGTTTAACTGGTGGCTGAATTATTCTAACTTCTCTATTAGACCAACAAGTGTCACTAGAAACATGAAGTGGTTGTGTTTTCTTAGAGCAGGGGTTCTCAGTCCTGTTTCCAGTGGTCCTTAAGTTATTGCTTTAATCAAACACAACTGAATCAGTTAATCAAGGTCTTAAGGGTTTATATGTGAGTAAGGGGTCAAGGTTAAGCACCTGATATTTGATGACAGCACATTCAGATTTAATCATTAAAATCTTCAGATTTAGTTCATTTAATGCTGAGCTTGATAGGTCTGAAAAAGAGGAAGTTGTGTGTTGTTTTGCTGAAGCATGTTTGCAGTGAATCTGAAAGAAAAGTACTTGGCACATTTTCACATGAGTGACAAAACAGAAAATGGACGAGGAAAAGAAAGAGCTAAAAAAAACAGCTCTGATTCTGCAATGTTAATACTCAGAAATGGATTTGCATGAATGTCTTTATGAGGAATATGTCTCCGACTATGTATATAAGAAGGAGCTCAGACATTATTCTGGACACAACAGCTGTGAGATCTTCAAGCTCTACAGAACTTCTACTGATTCTTTCTGACATTGTGAAGAAACATCTTGAAGAATGAGAAGTCTGATGTCTGTGCTGTTCCTGGTGTTCTTCTGCTCTGTGCAGATGACTTCAAGCGGTGAGGGCTCTTTCTTATTTTCATTTTTGAATCAAGACAAAATGTATTGTTTTCAGATTTGCATTTGGTGATTTAAAATGTGGCGACATGATCAAATTGAAAACTTTTGTCTTATTTCTCCCTATTTTAGCTGTCATTTCAATTGATGCAGCACAATCAAAGTGCTGTGGAGAGTTCACTGATGTGAAGATTCCTCTGAAACAAGTGGCTTCTTACTACTGGACCAGCAGCAGCTGTGCCAGACGCGCTATTGTGTGAGTATCATCAATCTCATATCTCATTTCAAAACTGTAAAGCCAACCTCTATAAGACAACTAAAAAGCTTATTTTTAGACCTAAATCTTATTTTTGTTTCTTTCCCATCAGGTTTAAGACAAAATCAGGGAAAGAATTCTGTGTTGATCCAGAGATCCCCTGGGTGAGCGGCCATGTTGCTAAAGTGGACAAAAGAACAACAGTCTAAAAGAAGCTACACTGTTTTTGAGCTGTACATTTCATATTGTATATTCAGTCCTTGTGTTATTTCCAATGTGCGTATAAAATCATTTATTTACAGGATAATTTATGTGATTGGTTCAGTTGTTTTAATAAAATATCAGTGATAGAATTATCATAATGTGGTCATGTTTTTATTCTCTATTGCATACAGGTATTACATTTGATTAAAATGGCTGTGTGTGTGTGTTATTATGAAACAAAGCATTTGTTTTAAATATCTCAGTCAGTATTACAGATGTATTATAGATGATAAAGTATTAATGTAGATGGTAAATGATAATAAAACCATGCTAAAAATTCTTGCTTTTTTTCTGCTGATGTCACAACCTGCCAGATTCAAACAGGTTTTGTGCCTTTACAGAAAGACAGGTTACACTTTATTTCGATAGTCCACTTTAGACATTCTACTAACTTTAAGTAACTTTGTAACTACATGTCAACTACATGTCAACTAATTCTCATTAATTTGCATCTACATGTCTACTAACTCTCAGAGTAAGCTGTTAGGGTAGGTTTAGGGTTAGTAGAATAAGTTGACAAAGAAAGTGTTAGAAAATATTAAGCAGACAGTTTACTAATACTTTACTAACTGCTAGTTGACATGTAGTTGCAAAGTTACTTACTGTTAATAGAATGTCTAAAGTGGACTATCGAAATAAAGTGTTACCGAAAGACACACTGGATCACTCATAATCACACAAAGGTGCTTAGACAACCTTTTCAACAAAAAAAGTCAAGGTTCTAATATTTTAGCATCTAATATTTGATTAAAGTACAATTCAGATTAAATCATCAGATTTAGCACTGAACATGACAGGCCTGAAAAGAGGAAGTTGTGTGTTGTTTTCCTGAAGCACATTTTCTGTGAATTTGAAAGAAAAGTATACCTTCAACTTTCTTACATGAACAACAAAGCAGAAAAAGGATGAGGAAAAGGATGAGCTAAAAACAACTCTGATTCTACAATGTTGATACTCAGAAATGGATTTGCATGAATGTCTTTATGAGGAACATGTCTCTGACTATGATGTGTCATATGTTCGCAAAGTGAAGAAAATTGGTTTATTACTGTAAAGAAACATCATTGAGGTTTCATGTTCAGTGCTTAAAATTCACACTTAAATGTGACTAACAAGGCCAATCTTGGGCAAAATGGTCAGTCTGTTGCAGCGCATTACAATACACATGTACAAATGTGATGCAATACAAATGGTGGAAAAGAGTGGGTGATTTTAAAAACACACATATTCCATTTACAAGAAATCTGCTTCCTTCTTTCTTAGTGCAGCTTGTAAAACTGGTAAAACGTTTGAGCTCAGCTTAAGAAAGTCTATGGGCTTCTATATGATGGTTTAACTGCCTCATTTGGAGAAATAATTCTCAGTTATGAGGAGAAGTGGTCTCCCATATGAAAATTAACCATGGTTTTACTACAAATAAAAACAAAAAACCATGGTTACTATAGTTAAACCACGGTAACTGCAACTTAACCATGGTTTTGCTACACTAACCATAGGAGGAATGGGTCATGTGCACCGTGACCTCGTCTGCTTCGGATATTAAAAAGCAGCAAGAACACTCAGAAAAAAAGTTTTTGAACATGCCCTGACCAAGGCTCATTTAGCAGCTGCAGACATTCTTGAAAAGGCAAAGGAGAGATGATAGTACAGGCTATTGTTAATAGTCAGTCGGAACAGATAACCACCACAGCTAGAGTTTTTCGCACAGCCTACAAGGAGGCTAAAAGTCACAGGCCCGCATATGGCTTTGAACGGGAGATTTGACTGCCAAGTGTTAAATGGAGTCGATATGGGTAGGATTCTACATTCTAATGTTGCATGTTCAAATATTCAGAAACATATTTCAGAAGAAATGAAAAGAAAACTATTTGAAAAAATAGTACAGTGTGCACCCAAACTCAGTCTAATGTTGGATGAGTTTACCAGCTTAAATAAAAAGAGTGCTTTGATCATATACTGTACGTTAGGGTTCAGTTGCCAGGTATGGACATGCCTACAAACATTTTTACTGAACTCGTAGAGATAGATGACCTAACTGCTGAAGGAATTGTCCGTCATCTATTATCTGCTTTGGAGCGATTAAATTTGACTGAGGAATTTCTTTCTAAAACCCTCATTGGAGTAACATGTGATGGCGCTTCTGTTATGTTAGGGCGCAAAAGCGGAGTAGCAAGCAGGCTCAGGGACATTTCCCAAATATTACTGTCTGGCACTGCTCATCCCATAGCCTTGAACTTGAAGTAGGCGACGTTGTGAAAGAGATAGGCGCTATTAATTATTTTAAAATTGATGGACAAACTGTATGCAATTTATAGCACATCTAACAAAAACCGAATGGAGCTAAAGGATGCTGCAGAGAGTTTAGAAGTCCAGCTATGCAAAATTGGTCTGATATTAGACACAAGATGGGTGGCATCAAGTATTAGAACAGTAGAAGCTGTGTGGAAAAATTACCCAGCACTTTACAAGGATTTTAAAACGGTTTCAGAGGATCCTGCTCGTGATAGCATCACGAAGCAAACATACAAAGGACTCGTTAAGCGCTTATCTTCCTTTGCGTTTGTAAACGACCTTGGCATTATGTGCGATGCATTGCAAGAATTATCTGAACTGTCACTTGAGATTCAAAAAAGAGAAAGTAGCATAATATCTGCCCACAAGGCAATTTGTAGGCAAATCAGGGTATTTGAGGCAACGGCTGAAAGGCCAGGGCGCTACACTGAAGTTAGCCAGAGGGGAATTGATGCTAACTCATTCCAGGGCATCCCACTGCACGAAGGAAAACTCAGCGACAAAACGTTAAACCAAAGTTGCTGTTTTTCTCAAGTTTGGCTAAGAACATGGAGGAACGTATGTTATCTAAAGGTGGGCGGCTGCCGTATAAGACTGGATATAACAAGTTTATTGAGGAGTTGAAGGTGCTTTACGCACAGTACTGGCCCGAGAACACTGGTGCGACGTATGGAGAGACTGAAGTTGAATCGCTCTGTCGGCGGTTTGGAACAACAGTGAGTTTGTATTATGGGGTGAATTGTTCCTTTTCATTCTGAATATGGCCGATTTAAATTAATTTGTGTTTGCATCAATTATATTATTATTTGAATTTAATGAATATATACCAAATTATACTGTCAAACTATATTATCAAATTATATTACCAAACTCCCTATTTCATGTCTAGAAAGATGGTCTGTCTTTTCAGGAAAAACATTATTTTTACCATAAAGAAAAGTAGTTAGTTAGTTAGTTTGTTTTTGGCTACATTTATGTGACAAACTTGCATATCCTTAGTAAAACTGCAAGTGGATAAAAAATAGAAATCATTTTAATTTCCTTTCAAGGTGTAGCTGGAACACCATGCACTTCACACAATTCACTCTCATAGAAAAACACTTTCACTTTCATCAAACGTTTTATGTTAAAAGTTAGAAAATGCTAACAAATGAACAATACTAAGGTTTGCCAACAGACCACTCTATTTTAAGAAGTAGGGTATTTTCTGTGTGAAATGCAATGTGCTACACTTTCTCTTATGCGTGTTTAGCACCTAACAGCTACGCAAAATAAAGAGGAATTAGAGGGTTCAGAGACAGAATGCTTTCTACTTTTCTACGAAAAGATTGTGTTACTTGCTCAGAGAATCAACAAGGGGATTTCTTTCAACACGAAAACGAATTCACCATCTCTGTTTGATGGGCTGCTGACAATTCACCACATATTCTTCTCTTGACGTATACCTGGAGAATGAAGACCTTCATTACTGTTTCTGATACTGTGCAGTGCTCTGCATTTTACTTCAGCTGGTGAATCTCTTTATTTTAATAATCAAATCAGATTTTAGCTGTTTCTTTCTGAAAATATTGGATAACTATTACTTGCTGTGTATTTAAAACCTGAAGAATAAAAACTAGTGAAATCTCTCATATATTTTAATAGTAGGATACAATCCAAATTTGTTGTTCCACAAAATATAGGGCATTGCTAGTGTAATGTGCTAGGCTGACATTGAAGTGTAACATCTGCAGGAATATTGTACATACATTTGCAGCTGCGAGGTGTGTGCGTCTTCCTTTTCTTTTTCTTCTTCTTTCTCCAAGCAGGAAAAAAAGCCTTTCTGTCATTGGTCAGGTTTCGCGCTAATTTTTTATTTTTTTTTACTGTATTTGGATTTACAGTAAATGAAAAATACTGTATTTTAATGGCGCCAAGAGGATATTTCCCATAATGCAACTTTAAAATACAGTAACATACTGTGTAACTGTTTTACAGTAAAGTACAGTACATACTATAGTTAAATACTGTGTAATTTACAAAAATCGTTAACAGTGTGCTGTCTTCTGAAGAACAAATTTGTTTTTGAGTATTTGTAAAATTCTGCTCAGAGTAATATAACATTTTATCTCGCCAGCAGCTCAAAATCTTCCAATCTCCGAAAGGTGTTGTTTCATTTTCCAATTCCTTATATAACATTCTTTTTAACGCATATTTCATGCAAGCACTTTCAACAAATATATGTGGACTTTTTTCCCTAAGGGTTATGACACCTAAAAGTCGATTTTGTGAGAAACCAGACGTCTCTTTGATAAAGACAACGACGAGGGCTTCTTCATTGAAAATGCAACAATCCAAAATGATACTGTTTAAAGGTTTAAACTACTATCATTTGCTTTTAATTTTTTTATCTCCTCATTAACAGAGCTGGTGTGACCGGACAAACAACGCTCACCACAATCGATCCTCCTTCACTCCCCTCTATAGGTATACCTACTTCACCCCAACAATCCACACCCCTAATCCCTGCCAGTCTCCACCACCCCTCAAATTCCATGCCCATCCCAGCAACCAGTCCTCCCATCCTGCCAAAAGCCTGAAACACACTGCACGATTTTCGGCTTACCAGACGAAAGACTGGCATTGTGAAACAATTGTGGCGATTTCTGTGATCGTGGCTCCTAATCGGCGGTCCTTGTCGTACAGTGAGACCGTTATCACAGTCTTGCGACCAAAGATGGCCTACTTTAATTTTCTGACAGTATCAGGAATTCAGCATGATCCTCGAAGAGCGTTTGCTGCTACGACCCACGTTTACTCATCAGCCA